AATGGGTTTCTAAGGAAAGGCTTGTAGTCTGGATTAGTTGTTATGAGCTCACTAGCACTAGAATGGGTTTCCAAGGAAAGGCTTGTAGTCTGGATTAGTTGTCATGGGCTCACTAGCACTAGAATGGGTTTCCAAGGAAAGGCTTGTAGTGTGGATTAGTTGTCGCGGGCTCACTAGCACTAGAATGGGTTTCTAATGAAAGGCTTCTAGTCTGGATTAGTTGTTGTGGGCTCACTAGCACTGGAATGGGTTTGCATGGAAAGGCTTGTAGTCTTGATTGATTGTTGTGGTTCCCTGGCACTACAATGGGTTTCCAAGGAAAGGCTTGTAGTCTGGATTAGTTGTCATGGGTTCAATGGCACTAGAATGGGTTTTCCAAGGGAAGGCTTGCAGTCTGGATTGATTAAAAAAGATTTTACAGTTTTCATGCATAGAAATTATAAAAAGAAGAAAAGAGGCATTGTTTATGTTGGTTCATTTTTTAGATGCTTATAATTTGCCAATATCTTAAACTTATAAAACAAAAAATTGAAAAATATAATATGTCCTGTTTATTTTATCAATGTTTTGTCTTGATAATCATTATTGATGTCTTTGATTTCCAGTGAATGGCTTGTGAATCAACAGAGAGATAGCATGGCATCTTACATAGGACACAGTAATTTGTTAGATTTCTTTGCACTGGTAGAAAATGAATCTAAAGCCAGAGTAAGGTTTAATTTGCTTGAGGTAAGACCACTTGAAATATGTATTTGATTTAAGTGAAGATTGTGTTTGTGATAAATGACACTTTTGCATTATATATCCGAATACAATCTTTGTCAGAAAACTACATTATTTCGGAATGATAATAATTTTCATATCATGATATTTACGTATTTATAAATATGGAGAACTAAACAGCAAGGTTTTTTGAGACTAAAATGAGAGTTTTTACTAAAGATGTTATATTTTTATAGAAAATGCTGCAACCTTGTGGAACTCCTCCCCAGCGACCAGAGGAATAAACCAACTTGCAACTGAACTACGACTTTTCTATTTAAAGACTCCTATATCACATAAAGAATGTCTTGTATAAAACAGCATAACAACTGATCATCTGTAATCAAACAAAAACTACCCTTTCAACTTGTGGATACGCAAAGCATTATGAATTCTTGTAAGGGTTTGAATATGCAAATGTGTTTAAGGGGAGGGGATTGGTTAGAAGTAACTTCAACCAATCATCCTCTATTGCATTATGTAACAAGTTTTTTCTGACATTCATGTTACGTATATTTTATATTATATATTGTTATGTAATGTTATATAGCTATTAGTTACATGCCCAGGCTGCTTTTGTACATCTTTGACTGTTGCTATAATTGTTGATTCTTTCCTAACTAAGCATTCAAAAAGCTATAAAAATTCCATATTTGTATAAAGATTTTGACACCGTATTTCAAGTGAAGAAGATATGCTATCTTGTATGAAACACTGCGAAAACAAACAAATAAAGTACGGCAAACTGTTTTTCTATCATTTTGCTGTATTTTGTTCACTTGTTTTGCAAAGATTTAACACTTTTCGAGTGTTGACAATGGAGATACAATCGTAAGACTTATATACCTATTTGAATATCTGATGACAGCTCTTCGTTACTGCTCATGCCTGTCGGGTCATGTATGGCACCCTACGTGTTTGTATTTCTTATTTTGGCCTTGATTATTTTTTTGATTGCGGTTGATTGCATTAAAAATGCAATCCAATGTCGACTTTTTGCGAGTTGTCGGCAAACCTCCAAATGGATATTTACATACAATTTGCAAACTTTTAGACGTTCTAATCCATGCGGACAAAAGGGATTTGGATTCTTTTAGATATCATTGTCATTGATGTTTATTAGCGATGAGTGGTTAACACAAATAATTAAAAATAAGCTAGATGATTAGAGAGAAAGTTGAGGTCAAACAAGTGTCGTTTGTCTGCCATTCACAAGGTTCAACGTAATGGAAGGATCTTGTTACAACGTTCCTCCGTCTGACTCCAGAAGAACGTGACGAAGAGTCCAAGTATTGTAGTTTTATTATGCCAAGCAGTTTCCTCTCTTCCTGGCTTGTTAATCACATCTATTCACTGGGGAGTTGACTAAATCGAGTCTAATTGGCTCGCGCCGACTATTCTTTCTAAAGGAGCTGGGTCTTTGACGCAAATAGACACGACTGCTTAGCCTTTTATTTCACTTATCAAGCTGTTTCCAGTTTTGAATAGAGAAACTGGGTATCCAGTCGTGTTATACTTAGCAAGTTTAGTTATGTAGGTTGTTGTATGGTTCCTGGAATAAATCCTGATGTCTTCGCTCAAGATAGTTGTGTTTCCTGGACCAGAAGGTGTTGCTTACACTACAGAAAAGAGAGCTGTTCAAACCAATCCTATGATTGACTTTTTATCTCAACACTCGTCAACACGGACACAGGAGCAAATACACACTATTAAACAAATAACCAACAACCATCTAGAAGCCGCAGACAAACGAAAAAACACAAAACTGAAAGGACGCCAACTCGTTTGTCCGCCTATCTTGGATTTGGCCATGAACAAATGTCACCCCAACTGTGAACAGCATCCCGCTCACAAACACAGAAGAATAATCAACGGTTTCTTCCCGTCTAAAATAAGAACAAGTTCCAATACTGGCAACGTTAAAGATCCCAGGCAGGAAAAACAGGTAATGATTTATGTTAGTAGAGTTTCTAGGCTAAGATAATCCGTGCAATGACCACCACCCTAATGGCCACGCAACTATAACAAGAAGATGAGAATTTAACAACAAACGAGGAAAAAAACAATGATAGAATGATGGTTCCTGTAAACGCTATTTTCTTAAACAAATAAGGTAGGAGATCAGCGAAGAATGACATACCATTATAAAATCATGTATCTGATAGGAAAAACAAGTGCTTATCTTATAGTTCTGATTGGTACCAGTAACTATGGACACTATTAATGAAATCTAGACTGCAGGTCACATTCAAGGAGATTTTTTTCCAAAAACGACAGTGCAATTATCGATTTTATGAGCGAAAAACACAAAATTGAAAGCATAAATTGTTTAGGCTTTTCTTAGAGAGTTAATAAAATCGTTCAAAAACCGGCTTTTTCGCAAAATGTATTTTACTCGATTACTTTCATAACAATCATCATCATTAGGTGAGCATCGATGACTATTTCTTTTCGATTAAAGCCTTTTCGTTTTCTAGTATTTTGTAATTCGATAAACTCTGGCATTTCACTCGGCTTGCGGATGATTTACCTCATTATCCTCATGGAAGTTCTATGCAACTAATGATATAGTTATTTTCTTGTGCCATCCATTAAAAGGCAGTGCTGATATCAGTCTGAGTGTCGGAGTTTTAAGACGAGAAGATGTATAGATAACATTTAAACTCTATTTTCTGTAGCACTCTTTTTTCCTAGCATATTTTTTGTTGTGTCCGGATGCGATTTGGATGGCCGTTTGCAGCGTTTGGTCATAGTTGGTCGCCAGGTGGGTGCTTGCTTTTCACAGTTTGCCATGAACCGTGTCAAAACTTTTTAGTGTCGGTTTTCAGGCCTAGTAGTTTCAAACTCTTTTAGACTGATTGACCTTATGAATCCCGACTTCACCCAATAGACAGCATAATGATGCCTTGCCTCAACACAAACTCGGCCTTATGTTAAATAATCACAAAGTGCTTATATATTTGCAGGAGCCATTTGAAGAGAACTTGACAGCCGACTCGCCTTTGGAACCCCATCAAAATGGATCATTTCTAAGTAGAAGTGGGTCAAAACACGGCCAACTATCTGAGCAGCCAACAGCCCGGAGGTTCAATGATCAGCATGAGGAGAAAGTTCATTCAGGAAGAAGAGTAACATTGTCTTTAAGAAATGGTTCCCCATCACCGTGGATAAACCGGTATCAAATCAAGAAGAAGTCCATATCAGCCTGTAATAAGGGGAACACCAACTCCCAATTTGTCACTCGTGGATATTCTAGATGAGAGTAGGCAGATAAATTATCACGTTTATCAGTCTTTCTGCATTTGAAACGGCAAACATTACCACATTTAATTTCCATCGTTTCCCTGTATTTCACACCTTCGCCAAAGACAAATATTTTTTTGTTTATTTAACACTAAAAATATTATTTGTAACGGATCTTTCACCTGATATTTCAGGTACGTATGCCCACAGGGAGCCCAATTTAGATTAAAGTGAATGGTGAAAATAAAACAGTCAGAGTATATATACATAAGATCAACAGGGAAATTATATAGGAAAACAAAGGCACGCACGAAAAAAATGTTTTAGTGCATTTGTATTGATTTTTTTACTCTTTCGCATTACAGAGGACATTATCTTGATCTTGAATTTAAAAAAAATATTAATTATTTAATTTTTCCGATTTTATTTTCACCATTCACTTTAATCTAAATTGTGCTCCCTGTGTTATTACTGATCGCATTGACCATTCCCAGAATTCCTTGTTGTCATGTAGCGGACAGACGCAAGCCTCAATATCAAATGTGTGTTTATCCGCCTGTTGTAGTAAAGCAGTTGTTTTACTCGAAATTTGGTGCGATAATTAGTCAGTAGAAATGATCTTATTTAGCGTCTGTTAAGAGGGAGTGTTGTATATTGTATCTTACATATTTGAGGTTTCATCAAACCCATCATAAATTAATTCTAAACAGAAATAAATGTTATGTAAGAGATATCTTGTGTTGTTACTCGTTTGCTTCTTGATAGATGTTTATCCTGTTACATGTGGAATATACCAGCTGAACGTTAAGTTTCTTTCCTAATGTAACAAGAAACTACAAACGACCTTAGATTCATTTAGTTGATTGAAAGCAAACTATTTTAAAGCAATTTTCTTTGGCGTTCCAAATGAAAAAAGCAGTGTTCTCAATGGGACGATGGGACAGTAAATTGCTCATAATACGTCATCATGTGTTACCATAGCACCGGTGTTCAGTTGCTTCTCGTTCCTGGAGCCCGCGTTCATTGTGGTCTTCGCATCAAAAGTAGCCTGTGTACAGCCGCTTCCCACCCCTCCCCCCCCTTCGGGGAAAAAAATGGGGAGGGACTACATGACAAGGATCTAGGAAAAAACCATGTGCTCAAAACTAACTTGTTTAATGTGAACATGTGTTCAATGATTGAATGACATAGCAACTGATGCTTGGTAAGTATGCAGTTTCCAGCTTGAAAAATAGATCCAAAATATTGTTAATACCATCTGATAGAGTAGCTAGCTCTTATCATCAAGAGCTGCCACAGCTTGTTCAACTCTATTTTGTAGAAGTTCAGGGTTTGCTAATGTCTCTAAAAGAATATTCATATCCATCTCTAACAGCATTCCAGTAATTTTATCAGCATAATGAGGGTAAATCTTCAACAATATTTTGTATAATTCTTCTCCAATAAGCTCTTTTTTTATATCGTCATCTAATCCAACCAACCGTCTTTTGAGATTGCTTAGATTTAATTCTGATTCTATTTGTCTTAAAAACGATTCATTTTCCTGCTTTCCTAGTGATCCATGTGTATTTTCTTTGTCATCACTTCCACAGGATTTTTCTTCTTCCCCTAAAGCTTGAACTGCTTGAGAAACTTTTTCCATCAATATTTCATTATCATTATTAATCTCGCGTAAATTTGGAATGTCCATTTCCAGAAGCATACCAGTTATTCGATCTGCAGTATTAGGGTGTTGATTTACGACTTTAAGGAATATTTGACAAGCCAACTGTTCTTTTTCCTGTTCCTCCTCTAAAGAAACAGCTTTAGAGATGTCATTGTCTTGTTTTTGGGTTGGGGTGTTTTTGTCCTTCCTGTGAATTTTTGAATGAATTAAACGAATTAACATATGATTCCTCAAAGGTCTTGCAGGGAGGGGGAGGGGGGGTCTTTAGCCTTTCCATTATATCCCTATATTTTGAAATTTAAGACTCTCCCAGTTCTGAGGACTCCTGCAGACCCCTTGCAGACTTTATGAGCTGTTTTATCCTTTACCAAACTTTGTGAAAATGATTCAAAAACCAGAAACAGCCTCAAAAAGAGAGGCAAAATAAATTTACTGCTAATCACTTTGCCTTTGCAAAATTATCGTCAAATATTTTCAAAACCTTTGGCTATGGATAACTTTTGTCAGTGCTGTAATATTAGAATAGCACTATACCTATGAAGCACAAGGACACACACAGCTTTTATACCTTGTGGCTTTCTTGTTTACTTCAGTTTCCATGGTAACTGCTGCAGCTTTGTGTATGTGTTCAATGAACTGATCTTTATTGTCCAGCAACTCAACAAGACGTCCTTCTCCCAATTCTAATAACATCCCTGTGATTTGTCTGGCAAATACAGGATATAACTGCTGAACAGTTCCATAAACCTTGTTACCAATATCATGTGTCGGCACCAATGTAACAGTACTAACAACAAATGGATGAATGCATCTATCAAACTTGGGAGAGGTAAGGATTTTTTTGGGGGGGAGGGGTCATAGGGAAGTGATTTTCCTTTGTTAGTGGTGGTGGTGGTGAGGGAATGTTCAGGTTTAGTGATCCACACAGGAGCCAGTAGAAGGGATTATCTACCCTCTCTGTTTCTTAGTAGGAGGGTGATGGACAGAATAATAATACAATCAAAATTTAGAGAAAAATAATTTTATCCAAACAAAGCTTGTCTTGAAAAATTGTGCTGCCATGTGCTATCTGGTTAGGTCTTAGTAACTCACCCATTCCTCCTCCATTTCTCTAGTTAAGAACAAGATCCTTACAGGGGAGGGGAGGGTAGTAAGCAAAGACATGCAGCTATTTACTGACCTGCTCCTCCCCTCATAGCTCTAGTTTGTTGCTTGACATTTGCGATTCTAGTTTTATCCGTAGCAAAAACATCTACGAATGAGATTTGAGAAATGTTTATTTATAAACTATTTTTCCTTACCTAGTTTGTCTGACAACCATCGCTGCTCTCTCAATCCTGTTACTTAGCTCCTCTTGATTTTCTAGTAACTCCTTTAGTTCATTTTCATCCACCTCAAGAAGCATTCCAGTAATTTTCTCGCAATGCTCTGGGTAAAGTTTTTCCACTATTTCATAAATACGTAATTCAATAATATCTTTTTCACTGTTCGGTTGTTCGTCTCTTCCAACAAAGTTCCCCATGTTCTCTAGTTACTCGTACCAAGCCTTTCTGGTTCGATCTCACCACAGGAATCCCAAGCATCAAGTTCTTTTCAGGGACTTTTTAAAAACTCTTTAAAAACAAAAGGTTCATTAATTCCCGTGTAAAAAGAACAGGCATTAAATCAAGTCATTCTAATCCATTCTAAGCGTTCTAATTCATTTCCGCAGTTCAATACCGATCCTAAACACAGATCACTCAACGCGTTTTAAAACTGTTTTCCATTCAACACTATCCCATATCTAAATTTAATAAAAAATGGATTAAAAAAAAATCTTACGTGGATAAGATGGGATTCGAACCCACCAAAAGAAGTTTTAAAAATCGACTCCACTTTGCCATACCCCCGAGACATCCGCAGAGCTGGGGCGTCGTATGGACTTCGGACCTGACGGCGATTAAATCCTTCTGCCCTTGGGTGTACGAATTACGCAAGAAAATGTTCTAGCCGAAGCATCAGGGGAGAGACC